TGGGACTTGGGAACTAGTGGTGCTGCCTGAGGGAAAGAAAGCGGTACAATGCAAGTGGGTGCTAAGGATCAAGACTGACGACAAGGGGCAGGTCACCATCTACAAGAGTAGGTTGTTGGCTAAGGGGTTTATGCAGAAGGAGAAGCGGGACTTCAATGAGATCTTTGCTCCCACTGCCAAACCCCCTACCCTTCGTGTCTTGTTGGCAGATGCAGCCGTTAGTGGGAAGTTCATTATCCAGATGGACATATCAACGGCATTTCTCAACGGGATTTTAGAGGAGGTGTCCATGACGCAGCCACCTGGGTATGAGGATGGTACGGGCAGGGTGTGCAAGCGGAAAAAGTCCATCTACGGCTTGAAGCAGGCGCCACGCTGCTGGTACCAGAAGTTGGCAGCTGTTTTAGAGGAGATGGGATTCAGGACCAGCAGCTGTGATGAGAGCCTCTTTCTCAAGGGGGAGGGGGAGAAGCTGGTGCTGTTTCTGGTCTATGTGGACGACATTCTTCTCTTTAGCAGCAGCATGAAGGAGATCCAGAAGGTGCAGCAGTAGCTGATGGAGAACTTCAAGTGCAAGAACCTTGGGGAGGTAAAGTACTACCCCGGGAAGCACGTGGAGAGGGATCTGGATCACAGGTGGTTGAAGCTGCACCAGGAGAAGTTCATAATGGAGCTTGGGGAGAAGTACGGAATTGAGAATGAGCGCAAGGTTGCAACTCCCCTGCCAGCAGAATTCAAGCTTGTGAAAGCTGCAGAGGATGAAGGAGTTGAAGCCGAGGAGCAGCAGCAATTTCAGTCCTTGGTGGGCAGCCTCTTGTATGCAGCAGTTCGCACGAGGCCCGATATCTATTTCTCGGTTGGGCAGCTGGCTAGGGTGGTGCAAAATCCATCAGAGGAGCAGGTGGATGCAGCTGAGCGTGTGGTGAAGTATCTGAACTCTCACCCAAGCATTGGAGTTCAATACTCCGCATCTGCACAGGTGAAGAAGAAAGGGGTTGAGGTGCTGAAAGAGAAGGGGGAGAGGCTTGGAGAAGGCAAGCTTTTTCTCACTTGCTTTACCGATGCTACGTGGGCCTCTGAGAAGGAGGATTCCTCATCTCTGGGAGGATACATCTGCGTAGTTGGGGGAGGACCGGTTAGTTGGATGTCAAAGAAGCAGACGGAGACAGCACTCTCTTCCGTGGAATCATAGTACATGGCGATGTTCCATGGGGTGAAGGAGGTGATTTGGCTGAGGAGGCTGTTGGAGGAGATTGGCCAGGAGCAAAAGGTCGCTACGCCGCTGTTTTGTGATAGCAAGGGAGCTCTTGGGATGGCCAGGAGCGCTGTGCTTCATGGGCTGAATAAGCACATGCGTATCAAGTGGCACTGGCTGCGTAAGGAGGTGAAGAGGGGGACGGTGAATCCAATCTACATCAAGACTCACCAGCAGCCAGCAGACTTCCTCACCAAGAGGCTTGCGGATGAGCCTCATTGGCGTTGTGTGCGCATGAGTGGAATGAGCATGAACTAGTATGGAATGATGGGGATGCAGCCGGCAGGCTGAGGGGGAGTGTGTTGGGTGCAAATTCACATTGCACGGCATCCTGCCGTTTGTTTGTACGAGTATGTGTGTGCGAATGCATTTGCGTGTGAATGGTATGTTCGTGTGTTTGTTTGCTTTCGCAATTTTCGCTTGAAGCATTTGCAGGTACTCGCACAATGTGCGCTTCGGCATAACATTGTACGCGCTATGAACAGTACAAGCAGAAAGGACGAGCTCGCAAAGGAACCCAAGATGGAAGCTTTGTGGTTCGGCTTACTTGATTGCGCAGATTCAGTTCTATCCAACTCGAAATTGTACTATTTTGTTAGGTTGACTATAGTGTAGCAGGGCAGGCACTATAGGGGTACAATTTAGGTGAAGGTTGGATGTTGTTTGTCTGTATCTGCATGCTACAGGGCCAGGGGAAACCAGCGGAACCAGCATTTGGCTGGTTGGGCAAAGACAAAACAGGTTCTGTTTTTAGGACCTGAACCTGGTTGTTGTTTTCCCAGGTTGGAAAAACAGAACCAGAGGTTGTTTACCAACCTACCACCTGTTATTTTGTCCAGCCAGGTTGGTTCTGTTGCTTGGAATTATTTGGGATCATCCCTGGTTGTTCCCAGGTTGATTCCCAATGTCCTTGCTAGCTAGAGCTATTTATTCCTTCTCTGTTTGTACCTGAATATAGTGAAATTGATTCAAGCGAATTCCTCCCTTCCTGAAATTTCGATTCTACGCGGTGCGACGGCGGAATGCTACCCGAGTCAACTCTAGTACGCTAGCACTCCAACGCTAGGCTAACACTGTCCGAGCCATAACTTTGTAATGGCAAAATTTTTCGCGAGGCAACTTGGCTTATTTTAAAGCTCTTAGAGTGAGCTTCGATATAGTAAATTCTCAGCTTAATCCGATCTACGGTCTGCACGATACGCTGCGCGACGTTCAAGGTACTCTTGCTGTTTTGACTAAGTCTCTGTTGATCCCTCTCTCTACAAACTCGGACCCGAGGATAGGGGCTGGTCTTGTACCAGGCACCAAAGGACCCTTGGAGGTGACCCCGAGGAGAGGTTTTTAAGTGTGATAAAGTCTTAATAGCTTGAGTTTATTAGGCCCTTACACCAACAGGTATTGCACCGTCTGTTCCCCCCATCTGCACTTCTCCGGATGGCAGGTGAGTTCTGCCGCTTCAATCGCCGCTAGGGTCCGCTCCACTTCCTGCAGGTGCTGCTGCTCTGTGGTGCTGAAGATTACCACATCATCAATATAGAAGGCTGCGCACTCCACTCCACGCAGCATGCTGTCCATGACCCTCTGGAATACTGCTGATGCGTTCCTCAGTCCAAACGGCATGTACAACCACTCGTACAGCCCGTCCGGCCCATGAAAGGCCGTCTTCCTAACGTCCTCCTTTCTGATTTTGATCTGGTTGAACCCCTGCCGCAGGTCCAGAGTAATGAAGAACATGTCAGAATCCCAACCACTAGACCATTGGGATAAAAGGGCTTGTTAAGTAGCGGGTCAGAGTGCGCCCATAACCCCCCAGGCAAACGCGCCTGTAACCCCCCGTAGGATCAATCGGGCATCCACAGTGCAGATCTACTGACACCCCCCCGCACTGGGAGGCCCAGGACTGAGCACAACGGCAACGGCCTGCATGTGCATACACCGGGATTCAAACCCGAGACCACTCTGACACCATGTCAGGATCCCAGTCACTAGACCACTGGGATAAAAGGGCTTGTTAAGTAGCGGGTCAGAGTGCGCCCATAACCCCCCAGGCAAACGCGCCTGTAACCCCCCGTAGGATCAATCGGGCATCCGCAGTGCAGATCTACTGACACCCCCCCACACTGGGAGGCCCAGGACTGAGCACAGCCACAACGGCCTACATGTGCATACACCGGGATTCAAACCCAAGACCACTCTGACACCATGTCAGAATCCCAGTCACTAGACCATTGGGATAGAAGGGCTTGTTTCAGTAGCGGGTCAGAGTGCGCCCATAACCCCCCAGGCAAACGCGCCTGTAACCCCCCGTAGGATCAATCGGGCATCCACAGTGCAGATCTACTGACAGAACACCCCCTCTGCCAATTTGTCAAAGATCTCCTCCGCCATCGGCATCAGGTACCTGTCTGCTACGGTGATTTTGTTGAGTGCCCTGTAGTCTCCACACATTCTCCTGCTCAGCATCTCCCCTGTCAGGTCTCTCCTGGCTGCCACCACTGTGGGTGTGGCATACTTAGACTCTGATCTCCTAATCAGTCCTGCTTCCAGCAGCTTCTTGATCTTCTCCTTGCAGGTCTCCTCATCCCCAGGCGGCATCTTCCTCCTGCGCTGGAACACTGGTTCTGTGCTGCTCAGCTTCAGCTCCATCTCCTTCACATTGCACCTTCCCAGTGTTGGGTGCAAATTCACATTGCACGACATCCTGCCGTCTGTTTTTACGAGTATGCGTGTGCGAATGCATTTGCGTGTGAATGGTATGTTCGTGTGTTTGTTTGCTTTCGCAATTTTCGCTTGAAGAATTTGCAGGTACTCGCACAATGTGCGCATGGCCATAACATTGTACGCGCTATGAACAGTACAAGCAGAAAGGACGAGCTCGCAAAGGAACCCAAGATGGAAGCTTTGTGGTTCGGCTTACTTGATAGCGCAGATTCAGTTCTATCCAACTCAAAATTGTACTGTTTTGTTTGGTTGACTATAGTGTAGCAGGTAAGGCACTATAGGGGTACAATTTAGGTGAAGTTTGGATGTTGTTTGTCTGTATCTGCATGCTACAGGGCCAGGGGAAACCAGCGGAACCAGCAGTTGGCTGGTTGGGCAAAGACAAAACAGGTTCTGTTTTTAGGACCTGAACCTGGTTGTTGTTTTCCCAGGTTGGAAAAACAGAACCAGAGGTTGTTCATCAACCTACCACCTGCTATTTTGTCCAGCCAGGTTGGTTCTGTTGCTTGGAATTTTTTGGGATCATCCCTGGTTGTTCCCAGGTTGATTCCCAAGGTCCTTGCTAGCTAGAGCTATTTATTCCTTCTCTGTTTGTACCTGAATATAGTGAAATTGATTCAAGCGAATTCCTCCCTTCCTGGAATTTCGTTTCTACGCGGTGCGACGGCGGAATGCTACCCGAGTCAACGCTAGTACACTAGTGCTCCAACGCTAGGCTAACGCTGTCCGAGCCATAACTTCGTAATGGCAAAACTTTTCGCGAGGCAACTTGGCTTATTTTAAAGCTCTTAGAGTGAGCTTCGATATAGTGAATTCTCAGCTTAATCCGATCTACGGTCTGCACGATACGCTGCGCGACGTTCAAGGTACTCTTGCTGTTTTGACTAAGTCCCTCTTGATCCCTCTCTCTACAAACTCGGACCCGAGGATAGGGGCTGGTCTTGTACCAGGCACCCAAGGACCCTTGGAGGTGACCCCGAGGAGAGGTTTTTAAGTGTGATAAAGTCTTAATAGCTTGAGTTTATTAGGCCCTTACACCAACACCCAGTTCCTGCATGGTGAAGGCAAAACACTTCCTGTGCCTGGCGAGCAGCTCCTGCATGGCCTCCTTTCCCTCCTTGCCGATCCCTTCCCCCACCACCCAGCTCTCCTCCTCCTTCTCTTGGCAGCTCCATGCACCTCGTGGCTCCGCCTTCATCCTTCCTCTCTCTTCCGCCTGCCCCCAGCTCACGAACGTCTCCCGCCACATCTGCTGAATCAGCCACCTCATCACGTGGCCATCCATTGTATTCCCCAGAGCCCTCCTCCTGTCCGCTTCACTTGCCCCAGGCGCTGCTGTTGCGTCTTCTCCGTATCCCATAGCCAGCTCCCGCTCCAGTGCCGTGGGCTCCTCCCATCTCCCCTTCTTGTGGTCATACACCATTCCTGGCCCCGTCTTCCCTGCTTCCCACTTGTACCCTGCTGCCCCGACATACGCCACCAGCGTGGGCAGAGCCCTCCTTTCCTGCCCCACTTGGTTACACTGCTCGTGCCTGCTGTAGCTCTTGCGATACACTGGTGCTGGGGTCCGCCCTGGTTCGAGGATATCCTTCACCTTCCCTTCTGCTGCTCGCCTTACCCCCTCCATCTCTGCCTGCAGTTGCTCGGCAGGGACCACATTCTGCCAGTATATTCTGAGCCGGTGCGCGTAGGACCCCATTCCGGCCGCATCACAGCTCACCCCTTCTCCCAGTTGTCCCCTGATCCTGTCCCTCACCAGTCGGATTGGCTCTCTGCTATCCCCCTCCAGGTCCAGGTTCTCTAGCAAGTATGCCACCCTGCCCTGCCTCTCCTGCAGCCACTTCATGATTCGGAACAGATCCTCCAGCAGCCCCGCCCTATGGTCTTCTCCTCCCTTGCCCCTGCCTGCCCAAGACACCCCTTGGCACTCCCACCCTGCCACCAGCAGATCCACCTGCCCCCAGCTCGCTATTTCGGCCTCACCTATGTCTTTCACATCGTGAATCGTCCCCCCCGTCGCCTTGCTGATCACCTCCTCAGTCAGCAGGTCCGGGAATTCCGCTTGCAGCTTCCTGGCATGGTGCTCCGCCATCCTCCTCACCCCGGGTTCCTTCTCCACATATGTCCATCTCTTCATTGCTATCCCATTCCTCACCACTGCTGACAGCCCAGCCCCTATCCCCCCAAATAACTCCACCAGGTGGATGGGCTGCTGCAAATCACTCTGCTTCTGCGGCTTGTCCATCCCTTTCATTCTAGGCGCCCCTCCCCTCCCTGGCAGCCCTCCCTGCTCCCCTAGCCGCCGCTCCCCCACGGCCTGGTATGCTCTTTTCGGCTCCACTTTCACGAATCGCACTGGCAGTTCTCCTAGCGGCCCCTCCCTTTTCCAGTATCTAGTCCTAAACTCCACCCTCTCCTTCCAAGTACAGATGGTCATTCCTACCGCATACACCAGCTCGGTGCCCACCAGCACATCGAAGTCCTCCGACTCGGAAATCCCACACTTCATGTCGATTTTGGTTTCATGTGTCCCCCCCCGGCAGCAGCGTCACTTCTATGGGCGTCCGTATGCATGGCATCCATTTCGGCTCCCCCCCTTCCGCTGTCATCACCAGCATCTCCTTGGCCACGTGTCTCTCTGGAGCCAGCAGTTCCAGCCTCTCAGCCATCCCTCTGCCCAACATCACGCTCTGTGCCCCCGTATCTATGATGGCTGTCGTTACCTTCACTCCCTCCACTTCCATGGCTCCCTTTTCAAGCAGCAGCACCGAGGTCTGGCATGCCAGCCTCTCTTGGGGGTGGCGTGCGGGGGCTGGCTCTTGGGCTGGCTCAGATGGCGCTTCTCCCTTCACCTGCTCCTTCATTCCTTGCTCTCGCATGCCATCTCTTCCCCCGCTTCTCAGCCCCATCTCCTCTCTCCCCCTCCATGCCATGAGAGCACACTGCACGTCCTGCTCCATCTCCTCTCCCCCCCCTTCTCCCGCGTACATTCCTGCCTCCGCCTCCCCCTTCAGCCCTGTTGCCCTCAGTTGTGCCTGCAACCTGTTAATCTGCCGCTGCAGTTCCTCTAGATGCCTCCTGCTCCCCCCTTCCCTCTGGTAGCAATCCTTCGCCTCATGTCCTTGCCTTTTGCAGATTTCACACCGGGCTGCATCCGGGCATTCCCGCTTCCTATGCCCCGGCTTTCCGCACCCATCACAGTTTTTGTTGGGTGCAAATTCACATTGCACGACATCCTGCCGTCTGTTTGTACGAGTATGCGTGTGCGAATGCATTTGCGTGTGAATGGTATGTTCGTGTGTTTGTTTGCTTTCGCAATTTTCGCTTGAAGCATTTGCAGGTACTCGCACAATGTGTGCTTCGGCATAACATTGTACGCGCTATGAACAGTACAAGCAGAAAGGACGAGCTCGCAAAGGAACCCAAGATGGAAGCTTTGTGGTTCGGCTTACTTGATTGCGCAGATTCAGTTCTATCCAACTCGAAATTGTACTGTTTTGTTTGGTTAACTATAGTGTAGCAGGGCAGGCACTATAGGGGTACAATTAAGGTGAAGGTTGGATGTTGTTTGTCTGTATCTGCATGCTACAGGGCCAGGGGAAACCAGCGGAACCAGCATTTGGCTGGTTGGGCAAAGACAAAACAGGTTCTGTTTTTAGGACCTGAACCTGGTTGTTGTTTTCCCAGGTTGGAAAAACAGAACCAGAGGTTGTTCACCAACCTACCACCTGCTATTTTGTCCAGCCAGGTTGGTTCTGTTCCTTGGAATTATTTGGGATCATCCCTGGTTGTTCCCAGGTTGATTCCCAAGGTCCTTGCTAGCTAGAGCCATTCATTCCTTCTCTGTTTGTACCTGAATATAGTGAAATTGATTCAAGCGAATTCCTCCCTTCCTGGAATTTCGTTTCTACGCGGTGCGACGGCGAAATGCTACCCGACTCAACGCTAGTACGCTGGCACTCCAACGCTAGGCTAACGCTGTCCGAGCCATAACTTCGTAATGGCAAAACTTTTCGCGAGGCAACTTGGCTTATTTTAAAGCTCTTAGATTGAGCTTCGATATAGTAAATTCTCAGCTTAATCCGATCTACGGTCTGCACGATACGCTGCGCGACGCTCAAGGTACTCTTGCTGTTTTGACTAAGTCCCTCTTGATCCCTCTCTCTACAAACTTAGACCCGAGGATAGGGGCTGGTCTTGTACCAGGCACCCAAGGACCCTTGGAGGTGACCCCGAGGAGAGGTTTTTAAGTGTGATAAAGTCTTAATAGCTTGAGTTTATTAGGCCCTTATACCAACAAGCTGGTATCAGAGCTGCGTTATAGTGATCCTCGATATAGGTAGCTATGGCGGGCAACACCTCGGCGGTAGCTGGTGAATCTTCAGCCCAAGATCGTAGCGGCAGCCATGATTCTGGTGTTTCTGCGCCAAGGGGAGCGCGAACGAGCCAGGGCTCGCTGATCAAGGAGGTGCTGAAAAACTTCACCGTCGAGAAGTTCAATGGTGAGGGCTATGATGATTGGGCCTGGAAAATGCAACTCTATTTCCGTCAGATTGGATTGCTGAAACTAATGATTGGGGAGGAGCCTAGACCGAGTGACCCCGCGCTGCAGGAAGATTGGGACGAGCGCTCCTCGGCTGGCTACTATTTGATGTCGCAGAGTTTGGAGCTGAACCAGCGTCACCACGTCATGCACCTGCTGCCGGAGGTTGAGTGCGGTCCGAAGGCGTGGACGGTGTTGAAGGAGCTGCACGCCCCTACCTCCGTCGCTGCGACGCTCATGATGGAGAGGGAGCTGTCCGCGTTGCGCCTAAACGAGGGAGAGCCGGTGCAACCTATCCTGGACAAGATGCGTGATCTCTACGCGAAGTTGGCGACCGCGGGAATCACCTACCCGGAGCAGACCAAGTGCCTGAAGATGCTCTCGCTGCTGCCGGAATCGTGGCTTCAATTCACGAGCGGATTGAGCCTGCCGCAGAACCAGAGCTTGTGGACGCTCGAGTGGGTGCGGACGAAGATTCTGGAGGAGGACTTCCGTCGCCGCCAACTGAGGGGTGGAGACGACGGCAGCAGCGGCTACGGGATGCAAGGGAGCCGACGTGGCAAAGGACGTGGCTTCGGTGGTGCTGGACGCGGTGCAAAGAAAGACGACGACTCCAACGACCAACAAGGAGGTACCGGTTGGGGTCGCGGTGCGAAATCTGGACGTGGGGGCAAGTCGGGTGCTGGTGGCAAAATGAAAGGGAGTTGCTGGTATTGTGAGAAGGAAGGGCACCCCTGGTTTTTGTGCTATAAGAAACCCGATGGATGGACCCCCCAGAATCGTCACCAGGATGGCGGCGCGCGGAGGAACCAGAAAAACGGCGCCAACATGGTCGCTGATTCGTCCGACAACAACCCGAAGGGCAACGGCGGTGCGGAAAAGAAGAAGGAGCGCACCGCGGGCCAATTCTTCCATATGGGAGACAAGGGGGAGCAAGGAGACGCATCTGCTAAGGCTGGAGCAGAGCTGCACCCCCTGGATTATTGGGTGTTGGACACAGGCGCTGCTTGGACAATGACGCCGCGCAAGGACCTGCTGGACGACGTACGAGCTGCTCCGATCAACGAGGTGTGCTCCGCCTCTGGACACGCGCTGAAGGTGGCTGGTGCGGGACGAGCTGCGTTTAAGGGAGCGGATGGCAAGCCGGTGGTGCTGCACGACGTTCTTCTTGTTCCTGAACTCAAGGCCAACCTCATCTCCCTCCGTAAGCGTGGCAAGTCTGGGGTGAGCACTAGCACGGATGGGGCACGCACTTATAAGGGGAAGCTGGGCAATCGGGTGCTTTGGGATCTGCACGAGAGCAAGGACGTGTACAGATCTATGTGGCAGCTGCCGGCGCTGGCGTGGCACGGTGGGGGGCAGGCTGGAGAGGGGTCTGCATCCCAGGGGGAGTGCAACGCCGTTGGAGGGGTTGGTGTGAAAGTGTCGGCCAGATCTGGGGAGACAGATTGGGCAACTGCACACCGACGTTGGGGGCATGTGGCAATGCATTTGCTGAAGCAGCTGGAGAAGGATGGAGCCGTTAAGGGCTTGAAGCTGAACGGACAACCACCCGACGATAACTGTGAAATTTGCCTCCTTTCAAAGTTCACCCGTTTCCCCTTCCATAGTGTGGCTGGCAGGAGCAAAAAGCCGTTGGAGCTGGTCCACATGGACTTGGTGGGGCCGCTGCCGGTGCAAGGGCACAAGGGGGAGCGGTACTTCCTAACCATAGTGGATGACTGGAGCAGGCTAATGTGGGCGTATCCGCTGAAGCAGAAAGATCACGTCGCCTCCACGATTCGGGACGATTGGCTGCCATTCGTGGAGAAGCAAGCGGAGTGTGTGGTGAAGCGGATTAGGACAGATCGGGGTGGTGAGTTCCTTGGAGCTGAGATGACGGCCTGGCTCAAGAAGCAGGGCATCCAGAGGGAGCTGACCACGGCTTACACCCCACAGTCGAACGGTGTAGCAGAACGGGCGAACCGGACAATTCTGGAGACAGCTAGGGCGCTGCTCATAGAATCTGGGCTGGGCAACTTGATGTGGCCCCATGCTGTTCGGCACGCTACCGTCGCTAGGAACAGGGTACTCACAAAGGTTGGGGATGACTCGTGGGTGCCGTTGGAGAGGTGGCTTGGGAGGAAGCCGCCGGTGGACATGCTGAGGGTGTTCGGTTGCATGGCAGTCGCCCACGTCCCCAAGACCTACCGCAGTAAGTTGGGGGCGAGTGCAATCTGGTGTGGGCATTTGGGGCTGGCTGCTGAGAGCAAGGGATGGCTGCTGTGGGAGCCTTCCAAGGGTGTGTTGTTTGACAGCAGGGATGTGAAGTTTGTTGAGGGCATGATGTATGGGAGCTGGGAGAAACAACCGGAGGCCAGGGTGTCCCAGCAGATGAATCAGATCACCATGCAGCTGGACCTGACTCCTAGTGTGTGGGAGGAGGGAGAGGAGGCAGCTGCAGAGGGTGGTGATAAAGAGAAGGTGCAGGAGGCACCTGCTGGTGGAGGTGATGGTGTGGAGACTAGCAGTAGCACTAGTGGAGCTGCTGGATCCGAGGGAGGAGAGCAGCAGCAGGGAAAAACTAAGAAGCCGAAGGGTGTCGTTATGAAGGGATGGGAGACACCCGTCTCCAGGCCAGGACGTACCCGTATGGCTACTAAGAAGCTGACTGCAGGAGCTGATGTAGCGGAGCAGCAGCTTGGGACTGACGAGGCATTGCTGATTCTACC